TTTTTTTTCATAGAAACAATTTTTTATATTATTTAATAATAAAATTTTTAATATATAAAGCCTCTTCTTATTGAAACTATTTATATTTTAAATTTCAATAGAGTTAAAATTACAACACTTGACCCTTCAAGTCTAATAACATTAGTCATATTAACAAAATGTGCACCCCTCTCTCCAATTGGGCTTGGGTTTGATCCAACCATTTGTAAACATATCAAAATAAAAAGAGAGTTAAAATTACAAATTATAAAATTCATATGTGATTATGAAGTACTAATATCAAGTGAATCTTTATCAAAAGGAAAATATCAAGTGAATCACCTCTTTGATCATCAGATCTTTGTTCATCAGATCACAAGGTAGCTACGAAGAGGTAAAAACCTTTTTTAAAGCCTCAAATTTATTTTAAAATAATATTTAAGTTTCTAAATTAAAAACAAAGTAGATAAGCATTCTAACTTCACTAAGGATGCAAATAATCCCTTTTCATTCATGAGTGTTCATGCTTTTAAAGTGATATTAAACAAAGCAGAAGGACTTATTTGTATCGTTAGTGGAGTTGGAGGACTTATCTGTTTTATTTTTAGTTTATGAACTTAAAGGCTAATTTAGCATAAGTTTGGGGACTTAAAAATGATTTTTGCCCTAGAAAGATCAAAGTGATGATGATGACAACTCTAGCTGGCCTTGCCAATGTCCAAAAATGATACATATTTGCCACTTTTGTGCTGGGTTGGTTGGGAGGCTAGGTGCGAGCAGTGTGTTCTCACATCACGCCCGAGCTATACGTATAGCCTTCAGTTCTCTATGACTACGTACGACCATTAGCCTGCTGAGACCGTGATGCATTGTCAACTCCCTGTGAAAGTCCCTTACATCGGTAACTCAGGTAGAAGTCGGAGCCCTGTATGTAAACATCGTTGCTTTTATCGTGATTCCTGTTGTAACAGTAGTACTAACAAAAACACAGAATCTATAATATCGTCGTCACGATATTTATCGTTACACGTGGTGAGAAAAGTGGGCTAAAAAAACAAACTGGTTGGTTTGAGTTTGACCCAATATTGGTGTCAAATCATATTCGAAAATGTTACAATAATAATAATATTTATGGTATTATAAATTTATAATATAATATTTTATTATATAAGTAATTTTTTATTTAAATATACTTATAATATTATATA